TTTCATTGGACGTGAAAAATAGATGATTTAACTAAGCCGGTAAAAAGGACTTTACGGTTTGCATGAATCATTTTCTCCAGTTCAGCTGAGGAGACTATAGACCTAAATGAAAGAAACAGAAATGTCAAATAGGTTTTATATAAAAGTTAAAGCCTAAAGAAGAAACAAATACTATACCAAAATTATGAATGCTGGACGAGCAAAAGGAAGCAATCACTTGACTGATTTTTCAGTGTAGTTCAGGAGGAGCTACAATCATGGCCTCAGTCTTGTTGAAATTCAAAACAAATCAATCGTTGGGATAGACATTGAACTAGGTGGATAGCCTCTCGAGCTGGTAAGGCTTAAAAGACAAAAGCAGCTGAATGTCAGCATAAATAAATAAGAAATGGAAAGGTTGAACGATGGAAGCTAAAGGAAGGATGTAGCAATATAGTAGAAAATAGTAAGAGACCCGGGACTGAACCTTGTGTAACCTCACAGGTTAGAGAAGCAATGTTAGAGTTGCTTACCCTAAACAGAGAAAGTCCTGTCTGAAAAATCGGAGGAAAACAAGTCTAACACCAAGCCAAACCTCAAGCCTATTAAGTAACATACCATCGTCAACGGTGTGAAGGGCTGTATTGAGATCAACTAAAATGAGTACAGAACAATTTCCTGAATCAAATACCATTAGAATCTCATCATAGACTCTCAATCTCAAGGAAGTGCTGCTTTGGAAAATTAAACTGGAACAGGTCAGAAATCTGTTTTTTGCATAAAAAGGATCTCAGTTGACTCCCCACAACTGTTTCTAATAATCTCCTGATAGAGTAAATGGCAATTTTGAAACAGATGGATAATTCCCAACAGAACTGGCATCAAGATTACATTTTTTTAAAGTAACAAAACTGGCTCGGAATGCTTAAAAGAGGGAATGCCACAACCTTACTTCAAAGAGTTTTTAACAGTAGTTAGAAATGAAGAACCATACTTGTAAAAGTCCCAAACAGGTAAAATGTTAATATCTAATAGAGATTAGGTAATTAGAGGTAAAATCTCTAATAAGTATGAAGAGGGTTTAATCTAGCCCATTACTGTAACTAAGCCATCAACAATAACAGGAAAGAATGACGTAAAGGACTCAGCTCACTAAGAGCCATCTTCACATGCTGAGGAACATAACTTGGATCTTATGGTAAC